AACCAGTGGATATTAGTGGATAGGGGCAGTCTGCTATTGAAATGGAAAGGTTCCAAAGGTAGGCACTGTCCTAATACTCCTTTAGCTCCCTCAGTCCATACAGGGTTTTTTGTTTCTATTTTTGAAACAGGGTTTCTCTGTGTAGCCTTGTCTGTCCTGGAACTCGCTCTGTAGACAAGGCTGGCCTTGAACTCACAAAAATACTGCCTCTACTTCCCGAATGCTGGGATTAAAGGCACGTGCCACCACCACCCAGCTCGGTTCATACAGTTTTATAACGGCCTGGCTGTCATTTTGAGTATTACTCACCAAGTGTGTAAAGCTCTTCAAATTATCTCCAAATGGCCTGACACTGTCTTCCAGGATGGTTCAAGGCGCAACCTTCCTAATGCTGCAACCCTTTTGTACAGTTCCTCCCTCATTTATAGTGACTACTGGCCATAAAACTGTTTTGTTGCTACTCCATAACTGTAATTTTGCTGCTATGAATCACAACATAAATATCTAATATGCGGGATATGTGATATGTGACCCCAAAGGGGTCACGACCCACAGGTTGAGAACTGTCGGGATATTACGTGATTTCCTATTCGTTGCACTGACTCAAGACTCCACATTTTTGGCCTACCTACCTCCCAACTGACTTACAAGATCTTACATTACCTGTGAGCGCTCAACTCTAAACGGGACATGTGTTACCACCCCCTCCCCCCACCAAGGTTCAGGGAACACCGTGAAACGGGGTGGGAAGAAAGTCAGAAGAGCTGAAGGATGCTGTCAAGTGCTGCCGTCTGGACGTAACTCACTCATGTGCTCACCGCAGCCGTGGTTAGCTGCGTAAGATAAGGACAGTCAAAATTCCAGCACGGCTGGGAAGAGGCAACAGGCCCAGCCCTAGCTGAGCATGAGGGACACCTTGACAGCCCCTGGCGGGGAGATACTGGAGGGTGGCTGGTGGCTGGCCACGCTCCAGTCGGATGGCCCCAAACCTACGCACACAGGCAGCGCTAGCTGACTCAGTGGGTTATAAAAAAGAAGGCAGGGGGGCTGGAGAGATGGCTCAGCGGTTAAGAGCACTGACTGCTCTTCTAGAGGTCCTGAGTAAATTGGGGGGTGGGAGATGTTGAGGGAGGTGTATGGGGGGGTGAGGGGGTAGACATGATCAAAATACATTGTATACATGTGTGAAAATCTCAAAGAATAAATAGAAAGGGCTGGGAGATGGCTCAGTGTATAAAGATACTTGCTGTCAAACCTGACAACCTGAGTTTGATCCCTAAGATTTACATCACATAAGGACAGAACTGACTCCCAGACGGGCAGGCAGGCAGGCAGGCAGGCAGGCACGCATGCACGCACACACACACACACACACACACACACACACACACACACACACACACTCACAAACTATTTCAAAGATCCCACATACTCCAAGTCACCCACCTCAGCCCATTCAAAGCACTTTAGAGTAGGCCTTTCAGACAGACCTCTTACTAGACCCAGAGACTGCAGGTTTCGGTCTATCACCACTGGGGCTACAAGGCAGGCTGCCACTGAGTATCAGGACCAAGTACAGTACCGGGTACAATTCCAAGCCAGCTCCGCCTTTTTGAGGTCAGCTCTTCACATTAACTGGGGAGATTGGTTTATCTTAAAACTCCCCTACAGGGTTAAAGGCCACTAGAAGCTGTCTGGACCATACTGTTAAGTTCTTCTCACATCCCCAACTGCAGTTCAATTAAAAGGCCTGTCACCACATATTCATCTGTACAAAGTTAAGGATGTTCCATCCCTAGAAGCTCAAACAGCCTCTTGGAGATCTTCATCACTTCAAGCCCCATCTCCAGACCCTAGTGAGTAACCAAAGGGCTGAGCTCATCACTTCCCTTGAGTTCTAACCTCCGCCTCATTTCCTTATCTCACTGTTACTGGGCTTCTCATCTCCGCCATCACTATTACCATACTCTTTCGTCTGTCTTCCTGAAATCACCTAACCACTGTGACCTCTGCTCCCCGCCTTTACTTCTGTTCACAGCGCCTTTTTTATTATTCTATTCTGTGTCTAGCCCCTGCTTACCTAACCTTTTAGTATGGTTAGCTTCTTCCAGATTACTGGCTAGTACACTCCAAAATGGGATTATCTTTGGGATATCAACTATTGCTATCAACACTCATATCTGTCTCTCACCAATGAGGGTCTCATGACTTCCAAACAAGTGTCACAGTCCAGGGTTCATCCTTCTTTGTTAACTAACCCTGCCACCTCCAAAATCTGACTCAAGCCTTTTATTTTGACTTAAGGCCCCATGACCCTAAAACAGATTAAAAACACCTATTAGGCCGGGCGGTGGTGGCGCATGCCTTCATTCCCAGCACTCTAGAGGCAGAGCCAGGTGGATCTCTGTGAGTTCGAGGCCAGCCTGGTCTACAGAGCAAGATCCAGGTCAGGCACCAAAATTACACAGAGAAACCCTGTCTTGAAAAAACAAAAACAAACAAACAAACAAACAAAAAAGAACACCTATTAGCAGCCCCCTATCTCCAACCCCTTCTGAACTCTGAAATAGTTCCAGAAGAAAAGAGATTTGTGAGGCTGTGGATATAGCCCAGGTGGTAGAACATGACAAACATGCTTGAAGTCTTGGGTTCGATCTCAGTCACCACATAAATTGGGTGCGGTGGTGATGTGGGTCTGTTATCCGAGCATTTGGGAGGCAGACAGCAAGATCAGAAACTCAAGGTCATCTTTTGCTACATAGCAAACTAAAGGGCAGCCTGAGCTACATAGAAGTTATGAGTTACTATCATTATCGTTATTTTTTAAGATTTATTTATTTATGTATGTATGTATGTATGTATACAGTGTTCTGTCAGCATGTATGCCTGCTAGCCAGAAGAGGGTGCCAGATCTCATTACAGATGGCTGTGAGCCACCATGTGGTTGCTGGGGATTGAACTCAGGACTTTTGGAAGAGCAGCCAGTGACCTTAACCACTGAGCCATCTCTCCAGCCCTATCATGTTGTTATCATTATTTTGAGACAGGGTCTCACTATGTAGCCTTGGCTAGCCTGGAGCTATACAGACCAGACTGGTCTCAAACTCAGAGAGATCCACCTGCCTCAGCTTCCCAAGTGCTGAGATTAAAGGTACACACCACAAATGGCTAACTTAGGCTCTAATTGTCTAAGACATCACAGGGTACTGTGCCAGGCTCTAAGCAACCAGGATCTGATTGTTTAAAAGTAGAGGATTTTGTTTTTTAGATGTTTTATACAGAACTTAACAGAGAAAAATAACATTGTCACTGGCTGCCCTTTTTAATCCTTAATTCTAGCTTGCTTGGCTCAGCTTATAGCACTATGGAACCTGGCTTGATTTTATTTATTTATTTACTTATTTGTATCTGTCTAGAATGACAGTAATTATCTCTAGCTTGCCCCCTCTTCAGAGAGAGACTTTCAAGCCAGGGTTAGAGCAAATGATGGAAATTGGGGTTGTTCTAAGTAGAACATGAGGAGTAGCTATTTCCTCAGAATGGAAACATTCTCTCCTGGATAAAGAATGGAGCCAGTTAATACTCCAGATGTTAAGGAGGATGAAAATGAGCACAAGACCTGAGTCTGGGCCCTAGTACCCACATAAGAAGCCAGCTGTAGTGTCAGCATCAAGACCGGCGGATCCCTGGAGCTTGTTGGTCAATCAGCCAGTCAGCCTGCCTAGCCTAAATGGTAGGTAAGCTCCAGGCTCCACTGAGACAGTCTCCAAGGTGGACGGCTCCTGAAGAATGACACCGTATGTCCTCTGGCCCCAAACACCCATACAAAGTTAAAGAAACTCTAGGCTCAGGAAACTCTGTTCCCATCTGACAGACATTTGTTTACATCTGCCCAGGAAAAGGCATATAACACACCACCACCAGTTAGACCATGTAATGTCTGCATAGGTAATTTTATGAGGTGTGTGTGTGTGTGTGTGTGTGTGTGTGTGTGTGTGAACAATCCAAGCAAGCTGCATGGTAGTACAGCAATTGTGTACCACTCCACCCGATTCATGGCACTGGGAGCCTTACCAGGCCTGGCCTACTCCACAAGCCCAGGACCCTGCTCCTACTAGAGCAGATCCTTCACCAATATCTAGTTACTCTACATTCATCTCCTCACCTTCCCTTACTTCATACTCCCACTGCCCACCTCCTATGGCAAAGGCCCACAAGATAAAGGGAGAACGTGAAAATGATTTTTTTAAAAGTTGGCCCAGAAAACCAAGCGTTTGCACACACTAATCTGAGCCAAGAGCTGGGGTAAGAATAAGATTGCTTTGACAAACTGCTGCTAAAAACTGTCCACCATCCTGTCCTCCAAAAGAACAGCCAGTTAGACAGCTTCCTCTGGGGATGATTAAGATGGCTTCCTGGCATCTGATTTCCTGATCCTAGAGGGTTGGGATCTAACTCTCTCAAAAGATAAACACTATTATGACTCCTATCTCAAGCCTACTCTCTAAACATAATGTTTTACTTCCGAATAATTGTGCCCTTTTTTAAAATCTCTGCACCGTTAGTGATCAATGGCTGTTGTATCAAGACCATGATTCGATTCCCTCCTGGGAACCAGTTTTACAAGACAAAACTATCCTGTCTTTAAAAAGCCTGATCTATGAAGATCCAATGATGAAGTCATTACTTTTGCATACTAACCTAAACACTTAAAAAAAAACAAAACAACAAAAACCCAACCGACTTCACAGGAACACAGCCTCCTAAACAGACCTGCAAACATCTTTACCGCTATAAAAAGGGAAAGGATAATTTTTGCAGATCCTTCATCACCCTGGCCACCATTCACTTCGGCCTCACCCTGCTAGTACAGAACAGTCCAACCCAAGAAAGGCATCCAATACCTTGCTTCAACCAATCTACTGCTACTTTTCTTAGAACCTACAGGAAAGAGCAGTTTGTCTGAAACACAAAGGCCCTCAATGAAGACTCATACATACTCATGTTTCCTGGGAGACATTTATTATAAACCTTTCAAACATTTTCAACAGGGAAAGACATAATTCCTAATTTCTTTAGGATCTGTTTTTGTTTCTGAGGAATCATGGAACCTTCTAGAAACACGTCTCTAGAGCGCTATGCACCTTTTTAACAGGTGGAAGAAAGTCTCAATCTCCAGAAAGGTAGACTGCAACCACATATCCATTTAATCTGTTAACTGCTGGGCTCACCTGCAGATTCTATCTTATGACTTCCTATGTCTCTAGTCCCTTTTTTTCTGAGGTCATCTTATATGATAATGAGCACTCCTGCCAAACTACTCAGAGGAGTAGGTACTGTAGTGTTAGAATTAGACTGTCCGGGACTTCCCAGCCAGGGCCTTGCAAAAAGATGCAACTTAAAATCAGTCATGTTGACCTTCAACTGGTCTCCCAGGAGACCTAGCCCTTCTTTGGTCTCAAGGGCCTCAGGAGCCCAAACTCTCCTGCTAAATGTCACAAATAAGGAGGGAATTGAAGTCACTTGTATTCCCAAAACTGTTGGAATACTAGAATCAGTACAGCACCCAAACCATACCTTAGTCAAAATAAAGAATGTGGGTGCACCTGAAGGCAGGATGAACTTCATAGATAAGTGGCCCTGAGCAGGTTACCTCCAAGAACTTCAATTCTTACTTCTGGAAACTTGAGGTTTAAGCTAGTTCTTCACCTCTGCACCTCCCTTAAAATAAGTTCCAATTTCTTTATATTAATTACCAGCAAAATACACCACATGGGCAGAGAATACCAGCTCTGGATAAGATAACTTTCTGCCAAAACTAGGGCAAAAAGAAACCCCATTGTTTCTAACCAGTGTGAGTTCCCTGATGACTTGTAAGGCGTGAGCTCCGAGAGAAGCTTTCTCCACATTCAGAACATTTATATGGTCTTTCTCCTGTATGGGTTCTCAGGTGACGAATCCGGTTGGAACTGTGAGAGAAACTGTCTCCACACTCATGACAGGTATAGGGTTTTTCTCCTGTGTGAATTCTCTGGTGCCTGATTAAGTTAGATCTATGAGAGAAGTTTTCCCCACAAAGGTTACACTTATATGGTTTTTCTCCTGTGTGTGTTCTCTGGTGTCTGGTAAGGTGCATGCCCTGCCGGAAACTTTTCCCACAAGTTGAACATTCAAAGAGTCTCTTCTCCACTCTGTGGGCTCCACGGTGTGTAAGAAGGGGGGCACCACCATTCACTCCCTGTCCACACTCAGGGAGAGGGTCAAGTCGCTCTTTCTCATGGGTTCTTTCATGAATGACAAGATGTGAGCTTCGAGAGAAACTTTTTCCGCACTCACTACACCGGTAGGGCCTCTCTCCAGTGTGGATCCTCTGGTGCCGAAGCAGGTTGGAGCTGTGAGCAAAGATCTCCCCACACTCTGGGCACTTGTAAGGCTTCTCCCCAGTGTGGGTCCTCTGGTGTCTGTGGAGGTTGGAGTTACAGGAGAAGCTTTTCCCACAGACACTGCACTGATAGGGCTTTTCACCTGTGTGGGTGCGCTGATGGCGGGTGAGGTGGGTATTTTGACTGAAGCATTTCCCACATTCAAGGCACTTATGAGCTTCCTCCCCAACATGTGTTCTATGCAGTGACAGAAAATGTGGGTGCCCACCAAAGACTTCCCCACACTCTCCATCCATACACAGTTTTTCTGCTGCATGTATCCTCTGGTGCCTGATGACGTTTGAGTGATTAGAAAAGTTCTTGCCACATAAGGGGCACAGATGAAGCTTCTTGGGCTGTCCCTTTGGTCGGGCCAGTCCTCTACAACCTGTGGTTCCCACCAAGGACTCCTCTACTGTGTCCTCGGGGGGACAGTCCCAGTGTCCTTCTTCTCTGTTATCAGCTCTTCCCTGCTCAGGACTCCAGGGCATCTCCCTTCTGGCCTGGCCAGGCAGCAGTACTGGAGGATGGGTACTTTCAGGAGACACAGACTCAACACTTCTTTCTGGGTTCTCAAACTTTTCTACCCCTAGGAAGAGAGAAAAAACAAACCTCTAGATTATTTTACAGAGGAAAAAAGAAATCTCTACATGCCTTTCATGTGAGAGGCCCTGAGAACAGAGTTCGAGCTCAGTTTCCCACCCTGACCTTGTCGGGAAAGCATGCCAGAGAAGCACATGGAAACGAGGACTTGGAGCTCAGACTCGTCTTGGAACTCCCTTTTGTAGGCCCCACCCTGCTCTCTGACTAGCTTTTACCCTTCTGGCATGGACCAAGGTTGAGACTAGAGTGTCCCGAGTGAGCCCCAGAGTTAGAATCTCTCAGATGTACAGCCACATTCTTCCCTAGTCTGGCTGAGAGTGCAGGAGACACTGCCACTGTCCCCAGTGTGCCGCACTGGCCATGCACTCAGCCCCCACAATGTCACACACACCTTGGGAGCCCTTTTAAGCCTTGCTTGGCTCCACTTCTCACCTGGAACTGGTTCTCTGGGGCTCCCATCTCCCTTGTAGCTCGGCACACTGGGGTCCCACGGTTTCCCTTCTTGTTCCGCCTGGGTGCTCAAGACCTCCTGACCGGGAATGCAAGACTCTGTTCACAATGAAAGAAACATCACCACACTCTTCTACCACACGGAGAAAACAGTCTTGTTCCCTGCCAGCAGCAGAGAACCAGCTCCCCCTAAGTCTAACATGTATTACTGGAGAAATACACCAAACCATTCCCAGTAGTTACTCTATAGAAAAAAGAAATTAGAGAAGACTATGGGGTTTTTAATATTTTCAAAGAACTTGAATTTTTAAAAATGAGAATATACAATTTGTAATTCAAGTAACTATAAAATGAACACAGGATGACCACTGCTTTGAGAATCAACTTACTTTAGTGAAAGAGTTGGCTACTTGTAGATCGAGCTAAACTTAACTGGAAAACTCTAGGAAAAACCATGAAATCAACTGGAAAAGAACTCAGGCTCTTAGAAGACCATGACATTAAAATGTGTGAGTCCTCCTGTGCTGTGCTAAGGAAAAGCAAACAGCTCACTTGACCTCCAGCAAACACAGACTCCAGCAGAGGCTCATCTCCACCAACCACTCTCTGGTCAGAGTGGCACAGCAGTGGAAAGTGAGGCAGAGCCCAGGAGGTGGTCTCAGGAAGGAAGCAAAAGCACTACAATGCTGCACAACACAGTTCTAACCAGCTCTACACAAACATGGTGGACGAAAACAGCCGCAATGTGGCATCTTCCTGGTGTGGGCTTCAATATAACCAATCATACTGCACACACGGCCTTAGTCAGATTGCCTTCAACTTCTTCTTTTTCTTTTTAGAGACAGGTGTAGCCTGGCTGTCCTGGAACTCACTCTGTAGCCCAGGCTGGCCTCAAACTCACAAGAGATCTGCCTGCCTCTGCCTCCAGAGTACTGAGATTAAAGGCGTGTGCCACCACTATCTGGCACCTCCAACTTTTATTATGAGAATTCTCATATACACAAGCAAGCTGAGGAATTATGTAATATTTACATATATCCCACCTACATATCAGTTTATCTTATTTTATTGGCATCATAATTTTAACCTTTTTACCTTTGTTCAACACACAGATGTACTTTAATGAATGTATTATTGTCTAGCCTACTTGGCATATACAGTGTTCCAAATCTACAAGTCCCCCTTCCCTTCCTGGATTTTTACAGGCTAAGAGAGCTAATAAACTGGTATATTGGTGCCAGCACCAGACGTGTGTGATGTGGGCCTGTGGTCACTGGCCAGGCTCTGTGCTGCCCTTGCAAGTTCTCTACAGCTCAGACTCTGCCTTTAACTCCAGCAACGGAAGTACGGCCTAAGGATGCCACAAGTCTATCAACTGTGCCACTTGGCAGATGTTTAACTGACCATAGTAGGAGAAACTTTCTGTGTATGGGGTGTCTCTTGACAAAACTAAGAGCTCATGTACAGAAGGAATGTGTGTTCTAAGGAGCAGGACACTCTGGTCGTAAATGCCATCATTCCAGAAAGAGAAGTTCTTACCTAGTGTGCCCACATTCTCATAACTATCTTGCACCATATCCCTTGAGAGAGCTCTCTTACTAGGATCCTGATGGCCCCACTCCTGAGAGATATACATTGCCATGTCTTCGAAGTTCTCGGGCAACTGAAATAACACAAGATCTCCTTTAGCATCACATGTAACAGGAACAATTCAAGCTGAGTTATTGTCAAAGGGATAAAACCAGGAGTGCCAAGACCACGTCACGGGGGAAGAAGGGTCCCAGGCCTACAAGTGATGGGTTGAAAAGACAAAGAAGCTAAGGGCGATATCTGATCAGGAAGAAAAGATCCTCCTAGTAGCTGAGGGGCACCTCCCACCCCAAAAGGAGAGGAGAAAAGGAGGATTCTGGGGAGAGGCAATGAGAACTTCCACATCACCTGGGACCCAGTCATATCCTTATCTTCCATATTCCCTTCAGGAGGAAAGAGAGAGAGCCAGGGAGCAGATAATGCTGAAGATGACAGAAATCATAATGAGAACAGTAAAACTAAATTTCGGCAACCCACAGATTATTACAACACAATATGCATCCCCAACACCCAGCCTCAGTTTTTAGACTGACATTAAACAAACAGTATCAAAAGGTGTGAAGAGGGTCTGAAGAAATGGGACGGGCTTTCATCCCAGCAACCATGTTCTAACCACACACAGCCCCACATCAACCATCTAACTATAAACTGCCAGTGCTGTACACAAAAGGGCTTCACTAAGAGACTACCCTTTCCTCCCACCTAACCCTCACGGAACCCACACCACCAGCTGTAGGTTTTCCAGACCACACCTGAGAACCTTAACTTCAGAAATTCTTTCTCCTTGGCACCTGTACTACATTCTACTAGGGTCAGGGCAACCCCAAAGTCCCTCCTCCCTCCCACCTGCCCAGGTAACTGCCCCTCACCCCTCTCCTTTACAGCCTGGGGGTCCCTTTGGGGGCTGGGGTCTAGCAGCTCCTGCAGCCTGGGGCCAGGGCTTCGCTCAGTCTCCATTGGCTCCAGCTTGAAGCTCGGTGACTCTCCTGCTGTCTCCAGTGGCAAAGGCTCCTCCAAAAGTACTTCTGCTCCCCGCCCTTGGTTTGTGACCTGGGAACCAACCCACATCACTCAGCATCACAACCGGGCTGACAGAAATGAAATTAGTACAGGATTCTTAGGACACGCCTTCAACAGAGACCCACAGACCATCCCTTTGGTCTTTGCCAAGAGGATGGTTAATGCTAAAGACTTTTTAGAGTGTATGTGACAGAGAAAACGAGGGGGGGGGGGGGCTGGAGCATAAAAAAGTGAGGGTCCATAGCCAGCGCACACCTCAATATACTCTTTGATACATCTCACTTCTTTCTGCTCGCTCGCTCTCCCCATTCCTAGATGCTTCCATTCACTACTAGATAAGGTGAACTTATCCGGCAGTGACCAGAAAGCCTCAGTGCTTAGCTGTTTTTGAAAGGTCAATGAACTGAGATCCAACTCTGCATCGGAGACTGTTGACTAAGGTATAGTGGGTATTAACCACTAAGTATAAGCCTGAGGTGGTGGCATGTGCCTGTGGTAATCCCAAAACTAGAGAGATTGAAGCAGGAGGATTGCCTCGAGTTTAAGCTTGGGTTACATGTCTAGAACCTGCCTTTTTTTAAAAAGAGCAGAGCCAAGCGTGGTGGCACACGCCTGTACTGAAGAACTCAGAGTTTTGCAAACTGAGCCTAGAGGATCACCACTGGTCTGGAGCCGAGCTGAGCTACACGGTAAGACACAGTCATCTGGGCTACCTAAGACCCTGTCACAAAACAAACAAACGCAAGCAGTGGCATCCAAAGTTGACATACTGTTCTCCTGACCCTCCAAACTGCCCCCAGACAGCACTTTGGCATCTTCATTTTACCAACAGAAAAACAGGACCAAAGAGATTAAGTAGTCTGCCCAAAGTCACAAAGCTAGTACTAGCGATAGCACTAACTGGTCACTAACTACTGGTGGAGCGACGCCTACAGGTTGAAATAAAGTCCTCGTCACCGCTCACTACCGTCATATGGGGAAAATCTGGAAGAAAACTGTTCCAGATAAACGACATAAATCCCTCTTCCTCATGTAAAGTCTACTCAGTAATCAAGTAGATTTGACTACAAAACTAGGCTAGCACAATGTCCCAGTCTTCCGGGCCAAACCACGAATAAAACAGCTCTGTCACCTGTTGCCTCAGTTTCCCAAGTTCTCTCTGCATACGCTCCACAAGGGTTACTGCTTCTTCGCCACTCTCCGGGCGCAACTCCTGCACCCTGCTCTGAATCTCTTGGGGAAGGATAGTCAGGAACTGCTCCAGCACCAACAGCTCCAGTATCTGCTCCTTGGTGCGCAACTCCGGCCGCAGCCACCCATGGCAAAGCTCCTGCAGCTGGCTAAGGGCCTCTCGGGGACCAGAGGCCTCCTGAAAGCGGAACCGTCGAAAACGCAGGTGGGAGGCCTCCGGGCTGGAGTCTGGGTCCGGCGGGGGTACCTCCTGGCTCCAGGTGCTGTCCTCCTCCAGTTTCACTATCAGGAGCCCTTCCGGCTCCTGGGAGCCCGGACCAGCAGCCATGCTCAATGCCCCCAGAGTGCCTAGGTCCCGAAACCAGCTCCGTCCGCCTCCAAAGGCGCCCTAAGTTCCGTCCCACAGCAGAGCACGACCGCAGTAGCCGAGAGGGCCGGGGCTCCAAATCCCGCCGGAAGAACCCAGTTCGGAGTCTGGCAATAGCCCTGCAGCGTCTCCACCTGACCGGCTTCTCAGGCCCGCACAGAACTTAGCCCTCGGCGCCCGCGGCGGAAGTTTCAGCGCGCGAGTTGGGCGTCATAAGCCAACGGCCGCTCGTCGGGACGGACTTCCGGTTCACGTTTTGCTTACTCTGTCTCCCATTGGGTCGGGTCTCGCCACGTACTCACTGCCGACCCACGACAAGGGAAAATTTGCATCAAAGAGCGGGAGGAGACACCGGCCATGTGTTGATGAGAGGCGGGGCTACGGAGTGGGCGTGGCAGCCGTAGGCGTGCGAGTCTCTGGGCCGGTCTGGCCGGGGCATGACCTGGGTCAGATTTTCTTAGGAAATTTTCCAAAAATTTGCCAAAAGGTACATTCCTGAGCCACGCTCGAACCAGAATCCAGATGCGTTAGAGTGTCTTGTTGGGGCCCCGAAATGTCCGTTGTTAACAACTCACAAAGAAAACCTCCCTGAAGGCGGATCCCAACACCCCGGAGAACTACAGCCTGCAGCGGAGACCGCTGCACTGCGCTCATGGGGCTCGCGCTGCGCGGTGACTGCCGGGAAATGTAGTCCCTGGCACGCCCTTCTTCCTGCGCCTGCGTTGTGGATCAAGCGTCCCAAAGCCGTCCGAGTTCCACCCACCACAGTAAACCTTACACGGAGCCTGTCCTTAAGCCTCTCTTTGAGCAGTAGTTCCCTAGTGCTCCAACTTTAGGTGGCTGGTCGACCCAGAGGAACGCGCTGAGTGTGGTTTGTTCTCTCTCCATTCTCCCAGCTCAGGTCTATGGCTGTGACTGTCATTCGAAAGGAAGAAGAGAAGGAAACACCAGGAGGACTCCCTTCTCTTTTGAAGAGAACTGCCCAGGCCTGAGACTGGAGCGTGCCTGTGACAGCTCATGGAGTCCGCAGATCCTAGGAGTGTGTCGCGAAAACCAGTAATCGCTTATTGAACACATGATTACATGAACTAGGACCTTCACTGTATTGTATGAAGGAGGCTCTATTGTAAGTCCTGTGATTGTGGCATTGAGTGTCGGTTAAGTCTTTTGCCCAAGATCACACAGCTATCTTATCGCAAAAGCTTAGGCTGAGGAAATAAAAATGGTCTGTTTTGGATGACTGTGTGTAGAGTCCTGAGTAGTTTCTAGTTTCATCACAGGTACAAAGGCCCACAGGCTGTCAGGGCAAATGCTTACCCAGAAGCTAACTAGCACATGGGCATATCATGGGTTCATCCAGAAAAACCTTGTAAAGCTTGTGAGGTTGAGCTAGAGAGATGGCTCAGCGGTTAAGAGAACGTGATCTTTTCCAGGGGACCTAGGTTCTGTTCCCAACAATCTCCAATCTCGTGGTGGCTCACAGCCTTCTGCAGTTTTAGTTCCAGGGGATCTGACACCTTCTTCTGGCCTCCAAGGGCTCTGGTGCATGCCAGGCATATATATGCAGTTGCAGCCCAAACTGAAAGATTAATGACCTAAAAGCTTCAGACAGGAAAGTTGACTTGGCTGGCAACACCTGTGAGATGTTAGGATCCAGGGAGCTTCTGTTAAGATCAACTACCAACCTCTGGCTTTTACTGTAAGCCCCTCCCAGAGTGGCCAGGCCCCTCCCCCGAGGACCTCCAACGGCCACGTTCCACCCACGGAGCATTAACTGCCCTAATGGCTGGGCCCTGTCCCCACCCTACAGAGTAAAAACCCAAGCTCTGGACTTAAAAGCCCACCAGTCCCCACCCTGGAAGGCTTCACTTTGAAAAGTTCCACCTTTCTCCTCAAGAAACTCTATACAAGTCCTGCCTTCAGCTCAGTTCCCTGCTGTTTCTCACAAGAGCAGAGGCAGCCACCTTCCTGGTTTTTTCCCTCTTTTGTGTGAGGTTTGTTGTGTGGTGTGACTTTGGGGTTTTCCTTGGCTCCCAACTGCCCAGGATGCCTTTCCATCCGGGCTGTTATGGTTACACTTACCACTTTAATAAGACCTCGGGATAACTGACCTGCAGATGCAATCTTCCATCCTTAAAGTTCCTTTTCCGGCCCTATAAAACCCCCAAACCCGTTCTGCTTCCGAGTGGTCAGTCTCCTCTTTCTTTATTTCTGCACTGCCTCAGTCAATCCTGGTCTAACAAAAACATTCAAACACATAAAAATAAATATTTTTTAAAGAAAGACTTTGTGAAGTCAAGTGTCCTCTATGATCATTTTCATATGTTTTAGATATTTCCATTTCAAGGAACTATAGATTCTAACTCGGAAGCCCTTTTCTTCCTAGCATTTTACTATGTGATCTCAGAAAATTTATCTACTCTCACTAAGATAATAAACAAACGTCCATTTTCTCTTCTGTTCTGGAGTAATATTATAACACTGGCTGGCATGGGGTGAAGATTAAACAAAAGTGCTAATCGATACATGATTCACAGAGCAACACTTTGCACACAGTGTGGGCTTGAATCAGGACCAAAATATGGGAAATGGAGGAGCCATAAGAAGTGGAGAAGGGGGCTGGAGAGATGGCTCAGAGGTTAAGAGCACTGACTTCTCTTCCAGAGGTCCTAAGTTCAATTTCCAGCAACCACATGGTGGCTCACAGCTATCTGTAATGAGATCTGGTGCCCTCTTCTGGCCTGCAGTCATACATGCTGTATACATAATAAATAAATAAATCTTAAAAAAAGAAGAAGAAGAAGAAGAAGAAGCAGAGAAGTTCTCACACCAGGATCTGGCTGGAAGTCAGAAAATTTAACACAACTGATAAAAATAAAGCTAAAACATTTACAGAATGTGGCTGCGGTGGCACATGCCTATAATTCATCCCAACACTCAGGAACCTGAAGCAGGGAATCAGACATTCAGCCTGAGCTATGTAAGACCTTGTCTAAAAAGAAATATATAGCACCATGCATTTTATACTTATTTTAAAAGCTTTGCTTAATCTTTAAATCCTACTGTAAATTATATCCTTTGAGCAAAATAACTTAGAAAATCACATATAGGTCTTGTCAAAACACTGTACAGTTCTCACGAGATACACCCATGTCTTGGGTGCATATTGTCTTTTCAATTCTTCATATGAAATATTAGAAGAGATGTTATTGTACACGTTACACCTAGCCACAGCTGAGAGCAGAACTAGTCCTGAATGCAGTAGCAATATGGACTGTTTGGGATATCAGCTCAGCCGGTCTCCCAGAGGTGGCATCAGTAATCACACAGTGCTGGACCTTCCAGATCCACTGAGACAAACCGTCCACAGTAGCTTGCAGCCCAACAGTTTGGGCCAACACCATCATTTCTTATTTGGCTCTTCCAGCAGCAAGCCTTCCTTATTTCTTTTCCTGTAGCTTCACAGATACACAAGCCAGTTTAGCCGGTCTGTCTCCCCTTTTGCTTCACCCTGCACAATCACTTCTTTCTCCACTTTGCTTTCATGGCACAGCAGTTTCAAAAGGGTCATGGTGCTAAGGACAAGAGAAACTGTTGTCATATTTATAGGGAGTGAATGTATATTATTTGACAAGGCCATGTCAAGGATCCCGGTGCCTCAGACTAATGGGAGTAGCAAAGCCATCCTCAGGTCCAAATGTGAATGTTGACAGTGTGTGCAGAAAACCTCTACTATAGCTTCCTCCACCCCACCTCACCCCACACTAGGTGTTTGAAGACAGTGCCCATACAGAGACTAAGATTAGCCAATCTACTTCCTTGTTCAGCTATATAAATAACACTACCTCCACATTTATCTGTATGTAATGACCCAGCTTCTTTGTTTGTATGCAATAACCCCACCTCCCTGTCCAAATGGATATAATGAGCGCATTGAACGTCCAGGCTGCTTCAGCTTCTCCATCAGAGAGCTCAATCCACCTGACCCCAGCATTCCTGTGTGTCTGTGTACTTGTCTTTTCTTCATTCAATCGCCTCCCTAGCCAAGTCATTTCTGGAGCCATACAGGACTCAGCATATGGTTTTATGGGTATCTATTTCCCTCTCTCCTTCTTTTCCCCTGCACCCGTGTGTGTGTGTGTGTGTGTGTGTGTGTGTGTGTGTGTGTACATGTGCATGTGTATAAATCTGATGAGGGTGGTATCCCATATCTCTTGATAACTTTGCTTTATTCCAACTCATCTTGAATTTATCTATTCATTTATCTGTGTACTGTAGTTGAAAGTTTTGTCTGATCCCACCTGGCCTCACAGTCCCGCAGCCACTTGTAAAATAATTACTCAGAGGCTTAATATTATTTACAAACTTATGGCCATGGCCTATGGCTCAAGCTTCTTGCCAGCTAGCTCTTATAACTAAACTCAGCCCATTTTTATTAATCTATATGTTGCTACATGTTCCGTGGCTTTACCTGTGTGCCATTACATGCTGCTCCCTGGACAGCAGAATGATGTCTCCTCTGCCTCTGCCTTTCTTCTTCCTGTCTCTCTCTTGGATTTCTTGCTTGGTTATATCCTGACTTGCCATAGGCTAGAGCAGCTTCTTTATTAATCAATCATAGCAACACATTCACAGCATACAGAAAGAGATCCCACAGCAGTGTACATGGTGTGGTGGTTTGAATGAAAAAATCCCCCATGGGTTCATGGGGAGTGTTTAGCTGGAAACTCTGCCTCAACCCCTTCCTCCCTCTCCAAACTCTGCACCTCAGAAAGCCCACCAAGCAGCGGCTCCTCCCCTGGAGCTGCTCAAGACCGTGCCCACAGGGTATGTAAGGCCCCCTCCTTGGGAGCAGCGGTGTTATTTCTCCTTCCCCTGAGATTAATTTGGCTTATTGCATCGGCAGAGAAACCCACAACCCAGGATTCAAAATATGCTGTGAGCTGCAGAAATATGAAGTAGGAATTCAGCTGGCACTGACAAGGCTAAAACTGGCCAAGGGTTGTACAGAGGGAAGCCAAAACTCAAGGAATCTTGGGGATATTGGCTTTTGAATGTGTCAGCTGTTTCCTGCAGTGATTCTCTTGTGTGCTACTGTAGCTTTCCCATTTGATTCTTTCCCCAAGAACGTCTAACAGTGTGGCTGATCATTCACTGGGCACAACTTCTCCTACACAGTTGGGGTATGTGGATAACATCCCCCAGCTGTGTTTGAAAACAGTCACACAGTCAAGACCCCTTTCCCACAATCAGGCCTTTGTTCTTCTTATTCTAGCACAGACTTGGAGTCTGCTTTCCTGTAGTCATCCTCATTAGCAGACATCTGGCCAGGGCCATCTCTGGACACTTCTCAAACATCCAAGGACAGACTGCCGATAGATGAGCACTGGCGTGCCCTGAGCTCACCTCGACTACAGATAAGAGAAGCTAACCTCACTAACCTTAAATCCTTAACTCCTTACTTTCATCCCAGTTTATTAACACAAGACCCTACTTAAGTGATTTACCGTTTGTAATTACCTGGATGGTGATCAGCCCTCTGCTAGTACTGAGATAGGTAAATACTTCCACTGACCCAGTGAGACAGCCACCAAGGCGGGCAGATGATCGGTGCCAAGCTTTGTTTCTTGTGCGAATTAAGCTGAAACCCTCTTCTTTTATCCCATAGCCCAGCCGTTATCCTTAGTTTTTTTGTTTTGTTTGTTTGTTTGGTTTTGGTTTTGGTTTTTCGAGACAGGGTTTCTCTGTGTAGATTTGTGCTTTTTTCCTGGATCTCACTCTGTAGACCAGGCTGGCCTCGAACTCACAAAGATCCTCCTGCCTCTGCCTCCTGAGTGCTGGGATTAAAGGCCTGGCAATCCTTAGTTCTAAAGATTCCCCCTTTAGTAACTGACTCAGAGTGAAAGTGCTTTTATGAACCAAATGCTACATGTTGCCTAGCAACCGAGAACACTTCCCCTGTCCTGCCAGAAAATGGTGCCACCACAGGATAGCTGAGACAGGAGTGGCGCCAAAGGGAAAAGGACAGTTTAGTTTACTCGTGACTCACACTGACATATGGACTCCTAACCTATTACCTAGCCACTTCTAAGAATATAGTCTGAGCACATAAATTCCTTTTTAGATCCCCTAATCGATTTTAGCCCTAAGTTGACCCTACCAGAGAACTTCCACTAGTCACTCCCCCTTTGGTTGTAAATGAAAGCTGACAATTACTGCTCTATGTGTGGATCTTAT